CGCTCTATCATTAAATCAATGCATTGATTGCATTGCGCCAGACATGCGTCTCGGTCATCGTTACTACTTATGGCCGCAATACGTCGGGGTAAAAGTTGTTCTATACATGCAAGTTCGTTCAGTAATATTGCCTTTTGACCACTAGGATGATCATTGTCACAATGCAATGTCCTACGCAAGGCGCCGATTCTTTCTTTGTGCGCTTCTATATCTCGCCGTCCTTCGACTGATAAATCGCCCCCCATTTGTAATCGATCGTCTATCAATTCAATGCATTGGTTACATTGCATCATGCAATCACAACGCTCATCTTCGGTATTGATGTTTATTACCCGTTGCGCCAATAATTCGGCAATGCGCTCGAGTTCTCGCAGTAACGTGGTCTCCATTTCTCTTTTTCACAAACGCGTTAAGTATTCATGCACTTCTGATTATCAAAGTACATATGACACACATCGCCGATTTTCTCCCATTTTTATTAAAGTCTCGATCTCATACATAGAGAAAACGGTTCAATCTGTGGTAATGATGATAGCACCCACACATACACGAATTGCAGTGTCCGATTTACTGCGTCAACATAAAAACTGAAAAAATAGTTTAAGGTTATGGGGATGTCATTGATGACGGTGTTTAATTACAGTTCAATATTACAGCATCAGATTTGCTGCATCAACAAAAACCTCATTTCCAAGACGTAGAGAAAATTCGGCTTAAGGTGGGAGGGGTCTTGTGTCGACTTCCGATAAGAAGAAATAGTTCAAGGTCTGATTTCTACTGGCGGCGATGCCAAAAATAGTTCAAGGTCATGGGGGTGGGGGGTCTCATAGGTGACAAATTTCACATGGGTGTCACATTTCTGCTAACGGTGACGCCAAAAATAGTTCTAGGTCATGGTGGGGGTGGGAGCCTCATAGGTGTGAAATTTCAGTTCAAGGTCATGGGGGTGAGGTGGGGTGTTATAGGTGACGCCAAAAATAGTTCAAGGTCAAAAGGGTGCCAGGCCGGTTCTAATTCACTTGCATCAGCATTTTTTTCGCTGACTCAGCAGAAATTTGACACCCTCAGCAGAAATATCATACCCTCCCCCTCCCAACAACCGAAGGTGTCAAATTTCAGTTCAAGGTGGAGGTGGGGGGTATCATATTTTTGCTAAGGGTGTCAAATTTCTGCTGAGTCAGCAAAAAAATGCTGACGCAAGTGAATTAGAACCGGCCTAGTAGCACTACTGATATATCAAGATATTTAAAAGTTTCGAAGCCGTACCCACATTAGAAAGACACAGAAACACCGTGGCCCCTTTCTTTGAGGTAATTCTGCACTATTCAAAGCTGTATTCACTATTCCGAGCTATAAGTGCCGCTTCCAGCGCAGCTGTGCAGAAGAAGAACCAGAATAAGAAAAAGAAATATCTCTCAATCTGTCCTTGAGGCCTCTTTCCTTGAGGTAAATCTGCAAATATCTCGGAAACGGTGCGAAATATGGCAAAATGTTACGAGACCTTTCTTGTAGAAAATTAAGTTTCCCACTATTTATGTTGTATGACATGTTTTGACCAGCTGCGCAGTTTTCGAGATATATCGAGATATTTAAAAGCTCCGGAGCCCTACCCACATTATAAATATACAGAAACACCGTGGCCCAATTCTTTGACGTAATTCTGGACGATTCTAGGCTGTATCTACTATTCCGAGCTATAAATGCCACTCACAGCGCAGCTGTGCAGAAGAAGAACAAGAAGAAATATCTAATTATCTAATGTAGATATGGTGATAATGATAATGTTATTACATGTACATTGATCCGTGGGAAGAGATTAATATATTACATTAGATACAATGTAGATATAGCAATAGCGATATTGTTTTAGAATGTACATTGATCTGTGGGAAGTAATCAGTATATTGCGTTATATGTAATGTAGGTATAGTAATAAGGATATGGTCATTAAATGTATATTACATAACTAATGTAGATATAGTAATAATGATATTGTTGTTAAATGTACACTGCTCTGTGGGAAGGGAACAGTATATTACATTGGATCCAATGTAGATATAGTAACAATGATATTGTTATTAAATGTACATTGGTCTGTGGGAATAAATCAGTATATTACATTATATCTGATGTAGATATAGTAATAATGATATTGTTATTGAATGTACATTGATCTGTGGGAAGTAATCAGTATATTGCGTTATATGTAATGTAGATATAGTAATAATGATATTTTTGTTAAATGTACACTGCCCTGTGGGAAGGGATCAGTATATTACATCAGATCCAATGTAGATATAGTAACAATGATATTGTTATTAAATGTACATTGGTCTGTGGGAATAAATCAGTATATTACATTATATCTAATGTAGATATAGTAATAATGATATTGTTATCAAATGTATACTGATCTGTGGGAAGGGATCAGTATATTACATTATATCTGTTACACGTTCAATAAAATATCTGCTCGTTTACTGCCACGAAAACCTTCGAACGGTGATTCAAGCATCGACACAGCTTTATTACCAACGAACCATTTCAAATATTCATTTACGAGTTAATATTCCAAATCAAAGCAAATAATTTATTTCTTAACCGTCTTCAATCACCATAAACGGAAAGGTTTTCGGGGCGTCAACCATATTGTACGGCCAGAACCTGAAATAAAACAGACACCGTAATCAACCAGCCCCAAAACATACCAGTTCGAGGATCAGCAGTTCAAGCAACGGGACACCTCCACAATAGCTTAATTGCCCGCCGCATGTGTCACGCAGGCACGGAAAAACTCGGACCTCAGGCCAATTTCAACAAGGCCTTAAGGAACCATGGGTCAACAGAGCTGAGGTCATTTTGCAACTTGCAAAACGACCCCACCGCGCGGGACATACCCCTTCGGACCGAGTAGCCAATCAGTGTCGGTGACATTTGAAAATCCTACTGATTGGTCTCCCAGTCGAAGAAATCAATAGGAGCCTCCCACATTCAACAGCTTAAATAAGCAAGCGTTCTGGCCCCGCGTCACTTAAAACCGGACACTTAGCAATCGCATTCCAAAAGAGTAAAATAGTAAATCGCAACCATTCACATCTCCTTAATCGGTCGTAGGGTAGTACACGATGGTTCCTGATCGTGGCCGAAGAGAAAGTCCTGGCCTCGCTAATGGCAGGTAGGTGAAGTAGGGGCGCGATCACCCGTTGAGCAGGAGCTCTGGTTCCTGGTCGTGGCCGAAGAGAAAGCTTCCTGACCTCGCTATGGCAGGCTGGTGAAGACATGGCCCGATCACCCGATGAGTGGGAAAATCCTCCGGTGCCGATCGTGGTTGAAGAAAAATGGCCTGTCCTCGTGGAAGGTCAGGTGGGCGTGATGACTTCAAGGATAAGCCACATCATCATTATCAACCTACCATGGTGGACGAAGATTGGTCGGTCACCCGCGTGATATGATATCCCGGTCCTGATTGCGACTGAAGAAGAAGCCCTGTCCTGGGTAGTGCCAGGCAGGTGAAATTTGGCGCGACCACCCGTTGAGTGGGAAAGTCCTCCGGTTCCTGGTCGTGGCCGAAGAGGAAGCTCCTGACCTCGCTAATGGCAGGCAGGTGAAGTAGGGGCGCGATCACCCGATGAGTGGGAAAGTCCTCCGGTTCCTGATCGTGGCCGAAGAGAGAGTTTCCTGGCCTCGCTAATGGCAGGCAGGTGAAGTAGGGGCGCGATCACCCGTTGAGCAGGAGCTCCGGTTCCTGGTCGTGGCCGAAGAAAAATCCTGCGCATAAACCGTGCAGGTTAAAATATCCTACCGCTTGATCGGAGGTGTTACGGCGTGGCTATCCCCTGTGGTGCCTAGTGCATAGCGGATTGAGGGTAGACGAAAGCGAACATGAAAGCTTGGGAGCTAAAGCGCCGTCGCGGCTATCGCCGGTACAACTGGGATATCCTCAACGGATGAAAGGGTACCGGCGGCCTACGTCAGGGGAGAGGTTTTTAGTGGGTAGTATATCAGGCCGCGGATGCCCCTTCTGGGCGCCGCAGGGTCGCCCCTTCCGGGCTGTGACCGCTATCATTTGTGCCCACCCTTTAGGGTTGGGCTATCAGGTTGCCCCTTCTGGGTTGCCTCTTTGGGTTTGCCCTCACCAACGGGAGCTAGGCCCCCCTTCAGGGGATATGAGTCCCACACTGCCCGGGCCCCCTCTAGCCGAATAGTGCGACAAGGGGATAACCCGCGCGTGCGTAAAAGCATTTTCCTCTTCTATCAAAACAAAAAAAAAAAAAAAGGGTAGTACACGAATCGCGGCGTCGATAGAAATCGTACCGAGGATTTACGACCCTTGTTGACTGGGTTCTGAACACAACCGTTAGTCTCGTCGTGAATGTGTACTCGAAAAAACATTGGTCCTTCGAGCCGGATTCGATACAGTTTAGTGCTACGAACAAAACTAAGTTCCACTCAGTGCCATAAAGCTGGATTAAGTGACACAGTGAGACAATCTTAACTTTGTGCTTAGTGAACTACAAGGCCCACATTCAGAGCCCATTCACTTCTTAAACAGTGACTCACGATTAACGAAGCAGTCACTGTTTAACAACATCACGGACCATGTTATCGGCCGTGACACTAACCTACGTTCGGAGCTCATTTGCTTCATAAACAGTGGCTCACGATTAACGAAGCGGTCACTGTTTAACAACGTCACGGACCATATTATCGGCCGTGACACTAATTTACATTCGAAGCTCATTACTTCATAAACAGTGACCCACGATTAACGAAGCGGTCACTGTTTAACAGTAGTCGCGGGCCGCATTATCGGTCGCAACACTACCAAGGATTTTATCTTTCTGCACTCACCCTGATACAACGCAGCACAACATCTGGACCAGGGTTCACCGAATAAGGACTTCGCAGTAGATACGAACCACCGCAAACTCTCCGCATCGTAAAAGTAGGCTCGTTTCTTTTCGCCAATTCCTGTCACCGTTACTCAATCCCATTCCATCATGCCGAGAACAACAGATCAATATTCGAATCAAACTCAATCCACCTCGCACGGCGGCAATCTCAGTGCTCTGCGACGAAGACGCGGTAACATAATCGGACACATCACCACGTTCGTTCGGCTCATTGAAAATATGCAGCAATCTGAGCAACACGATATCGGTCTCTTACGCGCGCATTTAGACAGTTTAAAGGATGTCTGGTCCCGGTTCGACGAAATTCAATTCGAATTAGAAACCATAGACGAATCGGAAACTTCGCGTCGATATGAAATTCATAACGATTACGTAACGGTCATCGCACGAGCTAATTCAATCATCGATGGAGCAAACGCGACCACTTCATTAAGACGCAACACGACAGATTCATCCGCGACGTCGGTATCAGCCCCGATGGCCATCAAGTTGCCAGAAATGCGGTTACCGACGTTCGACGGCAAATATGAAAATTGGACATCATACTTTGATAATTTCTCATCCATGATCGATCAGAACGCCGATCTAACACCCACACAGAAGCTGCAATATTTACGTTCGACCCTCACCGGAAAGGCCGCCCCGTGTATTCAATCGCTGAGTACAACAGACGCTAATTACGCCAACGCGATCGATTTATTGAAAAATAAATTCGATTGCAAACGTAGAATCCTCTTAAAGCATTGCGACGCGATCCAGGCAATCCCAAAACTATCGACAGACTCTTCAGAAGGACTAGGAGATCTCGTTGACACCGTGCGTCAAAATCTCCGCTCACTAAAAAACCTCGGAATCGACACATCCTCATGGGATTGCATTATTATCTCGATTATCCTTTCAAAAATAAACGCTGACACCGCGTGGCATTGGGAATTATCATTGAAAGATAAACAAATGCCGTCGTATACACACCTTCTCGACTTCTTAGAGAAACGCGCAAACTGTGGTCCAACAATACACAAAAAATTGTCGACGACACCCACGCAATTCGGTCGAAATACTTCAACAAGGCTTCCCAGCCATCGACCCTCAACGCGTAATCACGCTTTTATAACCGCTATCAACTCTAGAGATCTCCAGAGTCATCGCGAATCTTACACGACGCCTTCCGTATCTACGAATTTCCCCAAATGCCCTATTTGTCATGACGCACACGGTATTTGGCGATGTGAAAAATTCTATGGACTATCGACAGAAGCAAGAACAGCCGCTATACGAAGGGCCTCGTTATGCCCAAATTGTCTACGACACGACCATAATCCCGAAATATGTAGGAAAAGATCATGCCAAATCTGCTATGGACACCACCACACGTTACTTCATAAATCGAGACAACCATCGAATCAGACAACTCCGCCACCCGCAAAGCGCGCAAAGACCACGGATTCGCAGGTAGAACCGACCGATTGACTAGGAATACTTGAGAATTCCGTGGGAACAAACCATCAGAGAGCATTTACGGTCAACACAATACACAATCAACTTCTTGTCACTGCTCAGATCTTTGTAATGAACAAGGAAGGACAAAAGGTTTTTTGTCGGGCCCTCATTGATACGTGCGCGACAACCAACTTCATCACCGAAGATCTCGCGAGAAGACTCGATGCTCCGCAAAAGAAATGCTCCATTCCCATCGGCGTTCTCAACGCGTTGTCCACGATCGCGAAATCTACCGTCACAGCCACGATCCATTCAAAGATCAACAACTACCAACGCACGCTGAACTTCCTCACGATTCCACGAATTGCATCCCTCATCCCGGGTCAACCCATCGACCGATCTAAGATACCGATTCCAAATAACATCAAACTAGCAGACCCAGATTTTCATCGTCCAGCTTCAATTGATCTATTACTCGGTGCAGGAACAGCGTTGTCCCTCTTGAGCGTCGGTCAAATTAATTTGTCTCCCCCAAAAGGACCAGACTTATACCTGCAAAAAACAAAGGTCGGATGGGTCATCGGGGGGTGTCCTCCGGTTCCCTTCTCTCCCCGCAACATTTCGTGTCACGCAACAGCTACACTCCAGTTTGACCTAAATCGGTTTTGGGAAATCGAAGAGGGGCCACAAATCCAACATCTCTCAAGTTCAGACAAGACTTGCGAAGCACACTTCAAAAAATACACATCACGAAACGCCGACGGACGGTATATCGTCGCTCTCCCCTTTAACAACAATATTCTTCGATTAGGAGAGTCAAAATCACAAGCATTAAAACGCCTAGAGTCGCTAGAACGGAAATTACAACGCAATGCAACGTTAAAGAAACACTACTGCGCGGTGTTGAATGAGTACCTCGACCTTGGTCACATGGAACAGGTCTTTGAAGATCGCGACATCTCTGGCGGATACTATCTGCCACATCACGGGGTTGAAAAGACCACAAGCGATACGACCAAACTCCGCGTAGTTTTCGATGGCTCTGCAGCAACAAGCACTGGCGTCTCGCTCAACGATACCCTCCATACAGGACCTAGAATCCAGGATGACCTACTATATATTCTTCTTCGATTCCGTACTCACCGTTATGTTCTCACGGGTGACATTGAGAAAATGTATAGACAATTCTTCGTCCGCAAGGAAGATCGTAAATATCAGCGAATTCTTTGGCGCGACAACACTAATCAAATTTGTACATACGAGCTGAAAACGGTCACATTTGGTTTATCAGCTGCCCCTTACCTCGCGATCCGTTGTCTGACCCAACTTGCTCAAGACGAAGGTCATAAATTTCCCCACGCCGCCGAAATTCTACTCCGCGATTTCTATGTCGATGACGCATTCACGGGAGCATCGACCATAGAAGAGGCGCTTTCCCTAAGAGAGGATTTAACGCTGTTACTAAGATCAGCTGGGTTGAACATTCGACAATGGGCAACCAACCATAAGGCCCTCCTGAAAGGCTTACCAGAGCAATCGATCAACAAAAAACTTCATCTCGGCGAATCATCAACGTTAAAAACTTTAGGCATCGTGTGGAAATCTTCGGAAGACTCCATCACTTACGAGGTTAAAACACAAATGGCCACCACACATATCACCAAGCGCCTCATCTCCTCAGAGATTGCCAAAATATACGACCCGTTAGGCCTTTTAGGACCAGTGATCATCAACGCCAAAATCCTGCTACAAAGGCTTTGGTCCATCAAGGTGGACTGGGACGAGTCTTTGCCAATGGACATTCATACAGAATGGATGGACTATTACAAGCAATTACCGTTGCTGAATAACATAATTTTTTCAAGAAAAACCATTATAGATTCACCGACTAAATTGGAATTGCATGGTTTCTGCGATGCTAGTGAGAAGGCCTACGGAGCATGCCTCTACATCCGTTCAACAAACGCAAGCGGACACACACACACGGAACTTCTCTTTGCAAAATCTAAGGTTGCGCCGTTAAAAACACAATCGATACCACGGCTCGAGCTTTACGGAGCTCTTCTCTTAACATCTTTGATCAACACAGCCAACAACGCATTGCATTTGGAAATCCACCATACCACACTGTGGACCGATTCCACTATCGTTCTCAGTTGGCTACGAACATCGCCACACCTATTAAAAACATTCGTCGCGAATAGGGTGGCAGAAATCCAAACAAAAACCGATATCACAAATTGGCGCCACGTTCCGACAACCGACAACCTCGCGGATCTTATTTCACGCGGTCAGACACCAAAAGAGTTCCTCCGACCATCCATCTGGCATCACGGTCCAGAATGGCTCGCAAGGGAAGAATCCTTTTGGCCTACCGACAATGTACCTTTATGCGAAATCGTTCCAGGACAAAGGACGGTAGTTTGTCTAGCCACTACCTCAATAGATACAAGCGTATTCGACAATTATTCATCCTGGGGAAAAACGCAACGGATCGTCGCGCGCTGCCTCCGCTGGAAAAAGACAAACACTAACAAGGGTAGTCTGACGGTATCAGAACTCAAGAATGCTCACGACATCCTGATCAAGATTCTACAGGGCATACATTTCTCCAAAGAATTGCGATGTATTTCTAACAAGGAACCGGAAATCGGTGGCAAGCTACAACGCCTCAACCCATTCATCGACAAGGACGGGATATTGCGAGTCGGAGGACGACTCAAACACTCATCAATCCCATTTTCACAACGTCATCCAATCATCTTACCGAAAACACGGGTAACGTCCCTAATAATCGAAGCCGAACATCGTACACAATTGCATACCGGCGTTCAAAACACATTGTATGCCGTCAGGCGCCGATACTGGCCCATTGACGGTCGAAGTCAGGTATGGAAAGCGATACGGACCTGTACCCGTTGCCTTCGCGCACAGCCGCCACCGGTAAACTACATAATGGGCAACCTGCCCGAAGCAAGGGTCATCGAGTCTCGGCCATTCACATACACCGGGGTCGATTATTGCGGGCCTTTCTATATCAAAGAGAGAAAACACCGAAACCGGACTCGTGTCAAGGTTTACGTGGCGGTTTTTGTCTGCCTCGCGGTCAAAGCCGTCCATTTAGAGCTCGTTAGCGACCTCACCACCGAAACATTCTTAGCCGCACTCCGACGATTTATTGCTCGACGGGGGTTCTGCAAACGTCTATATTCAGACAACGGGACGAATTTCATTGGGGCATACAACGAACTACGAGAGGTACGCGAACTTTTAAAATCAAACGACCACAATCAGAAGGTAAGGACTTTTCTCGCGGATCGATCCATTGAATGGAGCTTTATCCCACCACACGCACCACACTTCGGTGGCTTGTGGGAAGCAGCGGTAAAGGCATTCAAATACCATCTGACCCGCGTCGTAGGCACTGAATTGACCACTTTTGAAAATTTGAATACATTGATCATCGAAATCGAATCGATCCTGAATTCGCGTCCTCTAACACCTATTTCCGCCGATGCAAACGATCTCCTTGCATTAACACCCGGACATTTCCTTATTGGCGACTCTCTTACGAGCCTACGCGAGCGCGATCTTACAGACACTCCCACTAATCGTCTATCGAGCTGGCAACAGATGAAGCAGCACTTCTGGAACCGTTGGCATCGGGAATACTGAACGAGCTGACCCAACGCAGTAAATGGTCCAAGGGCAGTCACCCGATCAAGGAGGGTACACTCGTCCTTCTACGAGACGATAACATTCCTTCCATGCAATGGGCTTTAGGTAGAGTCACCAAACTGCATCCCGGCTCCGATGGCATTATTCGTGCTGCAACCATCAAAACGGCCACAGGCACTCTTGATCGGAGCACCAAAAGATTAGTGCCCTTGCCATATCAACCTGAAGAAGATGACCGCATCCCAGGGGACCCAACACCTATGGACAAGAGCTGACCAATTATAAATTCAGCCACATAATTTTAAGACATTATCATGCCATTATTTCTACTCATTTCTATTTTTGTACCCAAACGCTGTCTTCAAATTTAGAATTATCTATGTCATTATCTTAAACATGTAAACATATGAACGCTACACCTATCATCATTTTACATACATTTTTACGTACCCTCTCAAGGGGGGGGGGGGGGATGTTACACGTTCAATAAAACATCTGCTCGTTTACTGCCACGAAAACCTTCGAACGGTGATTCAAGCATCGACACAGCTTTATTACCAACGAACCATTTCAAATATTCATTTACGAGTTAATATTCCAAATCAAAGCAAATAATTTATTTCTTAACCGTCTTCAATCACCATAAACGGAAAGGTTTTCGGGGCGTCAACCATATTGTACGGCCAGAACCTGAAATAAAACAGACACCGTAATCAACCAGCCCCAAAACATACCAGTTCGAGGATCAGCAGTTCAAGCAACGGGACACCTCCACAATAGCTTAATTGCCCGCCGCATGTGTCACGCAGGCACGGAAAAACTCGGACCTCAGGCCAATTTCAACAAGGCCTTAAGGAACCATGGGTCAACAGAGCTGAGGTCATTTTGCAACTTGCAAAACGACCCCACCGCGCGGGACATACCCCTTCGGACCGAGTAGCCAATCAGTGTCGGTGACATTTGAAAATCCTACTGATTGGTCTCCCAGTCGAAGAAGTCAATAGGAGCCTCCCACATTCAACACCTTAAATAAGCAAGCGTTCTGGCCCCGCGTCACTTAAAACCGGACACTTAGCAATCGCATTCCAAAAGAGTAAAATAGTAAATCGCAACCATTCACATCTTTTGAAAATATTAAACGCATTTGAACCATCTCTCGTGGAACACTTCATTCACAACCTTACCAACCCTATCTCCTTAATCGGTCGTAGGGTAGTACACGATTCGCGGCGTCGATAGAAATTGTACCGAGGATTTACGACCCTTGTTGACTGGGTTCTGAACACAACCGTTAGTCTCGTCGTGAATGTGTACTCGAAAAAACAATATCTAATGTGGATAGAGTACTAATGATATTGTTATTAAATGTTCATTGATCTGTTTGGTATGGATCAGTATAATCCATTATATTCAATGTAGATACAGTAATAATGATATTATTATTAAATGGACATTGGTTTGTGGGAAGAAATCAGTATATTACATTATATCTAATGTAGATATAGTAACAACGATATTGTTATTTGATGTTAATTACATATCTAATGAAGATATAGTATGAATGAAATAACAATATCATTATTGCTGTATTTACATTGGATCTAATGTAATATACTGGTCCCTTCGCACAGATCAATTTACATTTGATAACAATAACATTATTACTTTACCTACATTAGATATAATGTAATATACTGATCCCTTCCCACAGATCAATGTTCAGATAATAACAGTATCGTTATGACTATATCTTCATTAGATATAATGTAATATACTGATTTATTCCCACAGAGCAATGTACATTTAGTAACAATTTCATTATTACTATACCTACATTGGATCAAATGTAATATACTGATCCCTTCGCACAGAGCAGTGTACATTTAACAACAATATCATTATTACTATATGTACGTTAGGTATGTAATATACATTTAATAACAATATCATTATTACTATATTTACATTGGATATAACGTAATATAGTGATCCGTTCCTAAAGATCAATGGACATATAACAATATCTACGTTACATATAATGTAATATGCTGATTACTTTCCACAGATCAATGTACATTTAATAACAATATCATTCATAATATATCTTCATTAGGTACAATGTAATATACTGATTCCTTCCCACAGATCAATGTACATTTAATAACAACATAATTCATACTATATCTACATTGGCAATAATGTAATATACTGTTCTATTCCCACATCAATGGACATTTAATAATATCATTATTACTATATCTACGTTAGATATGTTGTAACGGGGTCGGTTGATTCGGTGCGCACGGCGTTGCGCAGCGCGGCGGTTTCCCCGCGCCAGGGTTCGCAAGGGAACAGGTAGGTAAATAACGAGACGGCGTATATAGAAAAATATATATGTTTATCCAGGAAGGTAGCTATAGGTGACTACGGTGTACATCAGCGGTGGCTACTCTCGCCGGGCCGGTCGAGCGGCGGCCATGTCCTGCCACGGCAACTACAATCAGAATGAGTGCTGGTTGTCAGACGCGTGGAGCCATTACTTAAAGCTAATGTACAGTACTTACTAGCTACGGTCGGAACCCGGTCCGTCACAGAAATTACGCGACCTTAAATCTAGAGCGGTTCGTAGCCGCTGCTACGCGGTCTTACAATCTAATCGGCGCGATGTCGGAGCGCGGAGCGAAAGCGCTGAACGGAGCGCGAACGCAAAAGAACGCAAACGCAAACGCAAGGTCGGGATAGGATTAGTCCGATTGGGCCGACGGTGTTTTATTGAATCGCGCTGCGATGTTTCGCGCTGCGGAGGAGTTGCTGCCCGCTTGCCTCACGCGGCTCGTCTTCTCGTACGCCGAGGTAGAACCGAACAGCAAACGAGTCGACGACCAATCCTGGCCAGCCTGGGTGAGAATGCGGTGCCGAGTGAGCTAGCGTTCGGAATCCCCGCGGAAGCACCGGCAGATATTATGAACGCGCACTAGCTTGGTTATCCCGGGTCAACCACGGGACTGACGAGGCTAGGCGCCTACGGCCGCTGGACCTATGGGAGCTGCCAGATCGTAGCGTAGTGCAATGCTACGGCCCATTGGCCGGAGATCTCTTCGCCAGGGCAGCCATGGCGTCGAGAGCTCTGGTGCTCCGGTCCGGACCTCCGAGGAGGTCCCCTCGGGGCCGAAGACTACTTATAGTCTAATCGCACGGGAGTGGGGATGCCGCCGCGGTGGGGGCCCGCGATGCGCGACGCCGATCCGCGGCTGTCGTCGCAAAGTACAGTAAAACCTGGATAAATTCAACCAAGATTGGGACCCAGTGGTTGCGTTTACCTAAGCACGGTATCGAAGCTCAGATGACACGCGACGACCAGCCAAGCCTGAACGTAGAAAGGGACAGACAGTGGTGGAAAGAGAGAGGTCCGAAATCAAAGGAAAGAGCCGAAACGTATCGGTGTGACTAATACTAATTGAATCAAAAAACTTTTTTATTTTTGACTTTTTTTGAGTGAAACTTTTACTAGCGCATTGGTGAGATTTTTGTGAGTAAAGTGGTACCAAACACGATATAGTTTCAATTATAATTACTTGCTAAAATTGATGTTATAAGTTGGCGAAAAGCAGGAGAGATCGAAATCCAAACCAGTCGCGGTGTCGGCTTCGGTTTCAAAGGTTTCATTTACCCTAGCGAGGAGTCGATTCTGGGCATTTAATGTTTCATTTATTCAAGCGAGGAGTCGATTCCGGGCATTTAATGTTTCATTTATTCAAGCAAGGAGTCGATTCTGGGCATTTAATGTTTCATTTATCCAAGCGAGGTGTCGATTCTGAGTCCGTACACATGTTTTCTTTGCAGTCGACATGCCGATTCTGTGTCCGTACATATCTTTTGTATTCAGCCGACATCATTTATATTCAGTCGTGGTCTCAATTCTATGTTGTTTATTCTATTACTATTGTTTATAAATATAATTCAACCTATATCGAGTTTGGTATCATTTTAATCAGAAAAATCTCACAAATGCATTAGTAACAGTTTCAGTGAGAAAAAGTTAAAAATAAAAAAGTTTTATCGTTGAATTAGTATTAGTCACACGGATATTACGGTCGGATCATATTACACGGTTTCCTCGTCGAGCGGCTCGGTTCGCTTAGGGGGATCCCCCCAAGTGGAGGGGATAGCGATGTTTCATTTATCCAAGCATTCTTTCGTTGAATTTATCCAGGTTTTACTGTAATAAGCATTTAATAACAATATCATTATTACTATATCTACATTAGATATGTAATAAGCATTTAATAACAATATCTTTATTACTATATCTACATTAGATATGTAATAAGCATTTAATAACGATATCATTATTACTATATCTACATTAGATATGTAATATACATTTAATAACAATATCATTAGTACTGTGTCTACATTAGATATAATATAATATACTGATTCCTTCCCGCAGATCAACGTACATTTAATGACAATATCGTTATTACTGTATCTACATTACAAATAATATAATATACTGATCCCTTCCCACAGATCAATGGACATTTAATAACAATATCATGATTACTATATCTGTTAAGAAAGATAGTCAGAATGTAAAGGTTTTATCATATATATTTTAAATTAAAAACTGAGATAATTTGAACAAATATAAAATAACGTATTCTTCATATTAACAGATATATAATACATGTGCGAACATAATTTGAAAACTTCTGGAATCTATCTAACGGAAAACACACCTGCCAACCTCTTACAATAGAAAAACACGCATACCATACTACAATCATTCAAAAACCTAAATCACTTTTCCAACACGCCTCCTTGATTTTGTATTTGCGCACGAATATCAACCAAATATACATATCTTATATCCTAAGGTTTTCTTAATCCTAGCAGATCTCTAAATTTCTGAAATTTTACTCCACCCAATAATTTTGTAAACATATCTGCAATCTGTTCATCTGTAAAGATCTTTTGCACAGAGATCACTCCTTTCTTTTCATAGTCGTGGACAAAATGATATCCGACATCAATATGTTTCGAGTTCTTTGAAAATTTTCCATTCTTTGACAGTGCCACCGCTCCACTGTTATTTTCGTAAATTGTCACCGGTTGACTTATGTTCACACCTAACTCGTACAAAATTCCTTTAATTGGCAAAATTTCCTCAACGCAATCAGCCAATGCATAGTACTCTGCATGGGTTGAAGCTCTCGAGACAATCTTCTGCTTTTGTGATCTCCATAGGATTGCATTTCCAAACACACGCACC